TGAGTTCGTTGATTTTGTAGACAAACTTTCTGCAACGCGTGGAAAAACTAAACTGTGGTCGTGTTTATATATATATATATATCGTATATATATATATATATCGTATATATATGGGTGCATATATATATATATATGGCTGCTTCGTTGGTCCAACCGTCCGGTCGCCCCGACCGGTCGCTTGCGCCGGCCGCGTCCCGTCGGTGACAACCCGGTCACCGGTCGTCCAAGGTTTGCCCGTCCGGTGACCGGTCGTCCGGTCGGTGGGGGGTCGTTCCGGCGTTTGGAGGTGAATAGGAAAGCAATATCAACATAGTATCACATATGATTGGTGATATGTTTTGATCCTGAAACATCGTCTTCAAATCAGAAAAGATCAAACCACATGAAAAAAACTCACCACTTTGGTTTTGTCAGAGCTTTCCAGTCCCGTTTTGCCCATTGCAAAATCGGTCCAGTGACATGCCAGCACGTTTTGCCACCTTTGGGACCACCCCGTTCTATCCTTCCTCATGAACTACACGAAGGTGGGTCGCAAGGATGTAGATGTTCGAACCGCTGATCTTGAGTCTCTTGGTGTTCTTATCATCCCAACACTCCCAAAACAAAACACTCGCACAACCAAACACTCGCTATAGATGATCCTCTTCTACAACTCCCACTCTGACCGACCGCCACAGCCGCTTCGCACTTGCGTGCATGGAGCCGCTGCCGGCGTCGCTGGAGCTCCGCGCCACGCGCCACGCGGGCCGGGGCCTCTTCGCACGAAGAGGCTTTGCCGAGGGCGAGAGGACGCTCCAAGCGGCGCCGGTGATGGTGGCGATACGGAAGCATGCCAAAGGGCTGCGGTGCCGGAGACTTGACTTGACGGTGTTTTCTGTTTTGGGATGGTTTTTTGGCCTTTTCAGATGGGAGACACCTGGTATGTTGGATGGTTTTGGTGATTTTGGTGGGTGGTATGGAGTTGAACCGCTGTTTACGTAGCTGGGCGAAGTTGAGGGTCATCAGCAGTGGATGGATAGTCCCGTCTAGAGGTAATTTTAAAATTAGTGACTTGGATATATACTTGGATCAGAAAGAATTGCCTTGTCGATCCACCCCCCCTGACAGCCTCAAAGGACTGTTCCAAGTAAAAAGGAAGTCAATCGCCTGCCAGTTTTTTTTGCCGCACTTTGTGACAGCATTTGTTGCCGTATGGCTTGAAGTATGCTAAAGGAAAAAACATCATTGCAACAAACCTGGGGACAAACCCACGCCAACTTTTTGGCTGGGTCTTCTTGTTGAAACATGGCCACAACTTCTTGCGCACTCCACTTTCTGCTTCTTGAGCTATCTCCGTCATCAGCTCTGGCGATCAACGACTCAGCTTTGAACCTCAACCATCGCTGATCAACGAGTCGTATGGCGTGTCGTGCATCAAGGAAGTGTTTGAGCAGCAGCGAGGAGGACTGGCCCTACCAGTGCCGCTTGAATTCCAACAAGTGCTCGCTGGCCATAGCTTGGATGGGAGGTTGTTTGGTCTTCCAGCGCGCGAACCCCCACTGGAGCGGGAGAATGGCGAACTCCCATGTTCCGGGAGCGCCACGCCTTGGCCGTACGCGGCGGCGCCAAGAGGTTGGACCTTGAAATGCTGGACCTTGCTTCACCCTAGGGCTTCAAGTGCCTGCTCAGAAGGTATTTGGACCCTTTAAACCCACCCCAAACACCTTCTTAGAAGGTACTTGGAGCCCTAGGGTCAGCAAATACCTTTTCCACTCCGGTCAGGATCACTAAGGTTGAATTGCTTCTCTCTGCCCCATTCAGCGACTTAAGACGCTGGGCTCTGGGAATAGTTACCGCCCCATTGGCCCTGACTTCAACCACCCCAATGTATGTCAGTCCCAAACAGGTCGTGTCAGGGCTCTTCTTCGCACCCCAGGAACGATTCACAATCCGGTGCGACTCGGGAATGAACCCCCAATAGAGATTCCGGATCTGGAGCAAAAATACCCTCAACTAGTAACTACTAGGGTCTAGAATGGGGGTGACCCCTGGAGGGTCTGAGACATCTGGAACCCAAAATCCCTCATTCCATCTCATTCCCTACTAAGCACCAGTCCGTTGAATGGTGTTCCCACCAGTCAGGCTCCGCTGCTTTCGTTCGGACCGGAGATTTTCCAGACGTCGCCCGACGTCTAGACCTACGGCTCACGACGTCTCCCTTCTTGATTCCAACATGGAACGGTTTCTTCCTGGTCTTTACCAGGCTTTGAAACATGCCTGCTCGGGCCTAAGGGTCCAGCATCTGAGCAGCTCCTCGGAGGTCCTGTTTCAGGCACCCGAGGCACCATTCATCGTTCAGAAGTACTGTCACCTTCAAGACCATCTGAAAAGGAGGTAGCTGGACCCGGGAAGAGTTGATGCAAATCCCAGCATCATCAGTCTTTACCCTCACAAGGTTCTGGGACTGGACCCCCTTTCCGCCCGGTTCAGATGAGTCACTGCCGAGTCACTGCTTTTTTTGGGGGGTCAGCCACAGAGGAAGTGCAGAGAGATGAAGAGAGGCTTTTTTCAGGGTATTCGGTATGTTCACAGTTATTGGGCATCAAGACCCTTGGTGGCGGGAGACGTCTCAGTTAGCTCACAAGGCTTGGAAATCAAGCAGCTCTCACATAGCTAGGCGGACCAACGGTCACCGGTCCGGAGGCCACGGTTCAAACAGGACAGACATGGCCTCGTAACTCCTCCAGGCCTTGTAACTTTGGCAGAAACCAATTCAGAGCTAGACCATTCTTCTTTCCAACCAAGACTATCCAACTATACACGGGATTTCTGATTGACCACCACTATAGAGGCATAGAGTGATTTGATTGTGATTCTGATGCTGTTGACTTGTTTTCCGCCCACCTCTCCGCATGCTCATCCGGCCTCCCGCCCTCCGCCCTGCTTCCAGGTTCGAGCTGCGGCTCTACGTGGTGCTCTGACGCCTGCCGCCGCTCGGATGGGCCCAAGCACGAATTCGAGTGCGCCCTGTTGCAAGGCCTCGAGGAGCAGAAGAAGGTCTCAGCCGAGGCACTCGAGATCAGCCGACGGTGAGCCCATGGTCGCTGGCGCACGGAAAATCGCTTACCATGGTTGGCCATCAAACCAGCGGACTCCTGGGTGTTGGCTCAGTTTCTTTCAACATGACAGTGGGTGAAAACCCCGAGCCTAATCTCTGGCAAGTTGACCCTAGTGGCCCTATTTCGTGGTGATAATTCTTCATGTTCATTTTCGGTGGTCGACCAGGGTCTCCCTTTTTTTGTTGACGGAAAGCGCTGTAGCGCTTGGAAGTATGACCGAAATGCTGCTCCGCTTTCCGTGTTTTTCCGAACTGGTTAACCTACGGCCACATGTGATTTGCAATTTTGTCTTCCATCGCATCCACATTCAACATCTGGTACCTGTTACCCACCTGCTTGTGACCAACCCAGCGGATCCGATGAATCCAGATGTTGGCAGGATCTCTTCAGTCACACGCAGGAACCAATCATTTGCCTGCCAGACTTGGGACATCTTCGGACCTTCTTGTACTTGTTCTTTTCTCACATGTCTTTTATTTTCCGCAACTGTTTTGGACATAGGGTTCATATGGGTTCATCACATCAAAGCGTAAATCAAGAGCGTGGGAGAGGCATTTGGCAAAAAGGCCAGTAAAACCAACACATGGCAAGTGGCCCTCATCCAAAGGCGAGAACCTTAAGTTGATGTTGCTTTTGCTGCTCAGCGGTTTTGGCAGACACTCTTGTAAAGATGGTTCAATCATAGGGGGCCCCACCTGCCCCACAACATATGTATGGAATATTTACCTACGTTGACCCTGAAAACATCTTCAAAACCGTCCCAATGTAGGCCAATATTCCATACGTATATGGATTGTTTGGGAATTCTGAGTGCACCTCCAGGATGTCGCGGGGTCTGTGGTTTTGGAGCCATGCCGTTTGAACCTAACACATCAACACGGTTCAGGTGGCAACCATCTAAATGGCGGAGGTCATGTTTCGCATCATACACCCATCATATGAATTTTCATGTGCTCAATCGAATTGCTCCTACCCTAACGATTTGCGCCCTCAACACACAAAGGGTTCTGAACTCTTCGGTACAAACATGTACAAACCTCTGCTACGAAGGATTCAATCCAATAGTCATGGAGGCGCATCATCGGATAGCCATTGCGGGTCCGACATCACTGGCCGTCACCTGTCGACCTTTGAACCTGTCGACCTCATGGCAGGTTCGGGACAACGTGGCCTTGTTGATCTCTCTACATGCTTCTCGTCCGCAGCGTCCGCAGCTGGGGTCAACCCACTCATGTCCCGTTCTGGCAGTTCCTGTGCTGAGTAGGTGGCATCCGTGTGGGGGAACTGATCCGTCTGGGGGAACTGATTCTGCTAGGTACATTCTTGGTTTTGTGGAAAGACTTCTATCTAGCCAATTCTGCAAGACTACTCGTCTAAGACTATCCTTTCGTAAATATACATTCATTCATAAATTCTTGATCTACAGAGAGATGATCCTCCAAACCATACTGGTTTCTTTGCGTGCACAGCCGCGCTAGTTTCCTTCATTTGGCTGCAGTAGTTGGGGGCCGAAGGCCTTCAGTCCCTGAAGAGAACGAAGGCCTTCCTTCATTGATAATTTGTTTGAAAGCAGGGCCAAGTAAGGAGGCCTGCTGCCAAAGGCCCGCGTCCTAAATGGTGCGGGCCAAGATCTACCAGTTTGGGGTCTCCTCTTGAGACAAATCCTTTTAGTGCCAGAGCAGTTCTTCAAAAAACCTCGACACAGTGTTCGAATCAGGGCCTGTGTTGGCATAATATTTGTTTTCTGGGCCACACAGACTATAAGGATCTATAAGGTATTGGTATCGCTTACAGCGTACGGCTCGCGGCTTGCTCCTCCGTCGTCGATCGCACCTACACCAACTACCATATGGCACCCAGCCGACCACTGGAACGGTCGGATCCGGAATGACCGACCGCGTCCCTTTGAACGTCACCGCGTGCTCAGTGACAGAATAAGGGAATGACAGAATGGATGATATGAACTTAGGGAACAGATATGAATGATATGCATGAATTCCTCACTAGAGATACCTTGCGATGGAAATCGGACTTGGATGTGACGCGGGTCTTATGATCGTTCTTCTCGGATATGACGCGGATGCTCGGTATTTGACGCAGCGTATCTCTCCATCACGACGTTCCCATGGAGTTGGAGTAAGTGCAGCAATGACCCATGTTGCGTCGCCCATGAGTCAGATTTGCTGTCGCAAGTGAGTCCGATCTAGGCACAGTTTGGTGTCGCAAATGAGATCCTTGCCCCTTAGGGTTCCATTCATATCATTCATATCCATTCCCTCTTTGAGCATCAGAACACCATGCAGTCAGTGGTGACCACCGCTCGAATTCGGGCCACCAGTAGGGCTGACTGCCAGGCTTTTGCGGCCTCAGCCACTACTCTCGAGGTCTGAGCGAGAAGGGTGGTCCAAAAAGGTGTGGAGATTGGCACCCACCCTAACCACCTTCTCAGGAGGTAGTTGGAGCCCTAGGGTGAGATAACGGGCAGCTTAGTCTGACATCTATTCACTTCGGACTTTCTTGCCAAGGGCTAGAAAACTGTACGACTACTAGTCGTGCGCATTTGTCTAAATCACTCGTGATCGCAGTGAACATGTTGTTAAATAATGTTAAATACCCCATTTACTTCTACCACATCATTCTCAAATGTCTTTTGTTTTCTCTGCATTTCCAGTGGGATTGTCCGAATTCACGTTGGGTTCACTGACGTACTCATATGGATGGATGAAGAGTGTGGGTGGTGGTAGTGGTGGTGGTGGTGGAGGGTAAACATGGCATGTGCTCCGTGGGCATACGTGTTCATTTTCACCACAGATGATATGTTGTTCCCCTGCGCACGCGTTTTGACATGTTGTGGCGACTGATGCTCTACGAACTGTTTTGTCAGTGACTTTCAAACCTGTTTCCCTTTTTCCGCAACCACGTGGAAGCTCAGCCCTCTAGAGCAGCTGCTAGTGTAGGTGTTTTGAGGGTCCGGGGGATTTACTGGTCTCTCTTCAAAGGTGGTTTCAGGTGCACCTCTAGTATTTTGATGTATTTTGGATTCGTTGCTGGAAGTTTACGGTTTGGCTTGGTATCGAGAATCTTCTTGACTTTTTACAAGCATCGTGGCATTCTTTGCTTGAAGAGGTCGTGCTTCAATACCGTTGCTCACTGGGTTTGGTCCGGCTGTGATTGGTTTGTCCGGCTGCGTCTTCATGGCTGCACGGTGTTCACCTTTGAGACTTGCTATGTGTTCATGCAAGAGTTCTGTTTGACAGAATCGCAGGCGCATCATGGTGCCGGCAGCATGGCATGTTCCACCTGAGAGACTGAGAGGATGCCACGTGAATCTCTTTCTCAATATGTTGTTGTTTGTTTGTTTGTTTGGTTGGTTGGTTGGTTTGTTTGTTGGTTTGTTTGTTGGTTTGTTGTTGTTTTTGGGTTCTATGTTGGTCTTTTGTTCTCTATTTGTAGTCGTCTTTTTTGGGGGAGTGAAGCCAGTGAAGCTGCAGATCTCTGTCGACATTGACCACGCGGACCATGCGTTGGCTGCGATCTCTGTATCCGCACGTGTTTTCACGCACTTCACTGGGGGTGATTTTCTTTAACACTCGGGACCGAAGAAGAGAAAGATGGCCGGTGATGCCTTATTTGATAGTATACCCGTTGCTTGCAAGACTTGGTGCCCTTTTCCATGCCGAAGCCAATTGCGGAGGGTAGCTTGTTGTGAAGCTATGTAATTACTTTGAAGATTTTTGAAGTCTTGATCACCATGCAAGAGGAGGGTACTGACTTTTGAAACTACGCAAGGTCTTGGACAGCCCAGAATTGCAAGTTCTTCTCAATCCCATTGCCTTTTCAAGGTACAGTGAGTCGGGACATTGAAGTGAGCCAAAGAGCTACAGCTGGAAAAGGCAAAGCACGATAAAGCAACTCTCAGTGAACAAGAACCGACCTATTTTCCTCAACTGAAGAAGGTGAACAGGACGTAAGCACGCAAAAGCGATAATATATTAATAAGTGCAAGTTTGAAGATGAACTTCACTAAATGAGGTTGTAGCAACTGCAAGAAAGTTTGAACAGTGTTGTTTTGCACTGCGATGCTGCTGCTTCCGTTGATTTAGACTTAACGCTCATACATGACCTTCATTATACAACGTACATGCTTGCTGTTTGCTTGATATTTCTTTTGCTTTGGGGATCTTGACTTTGCTGCATGCATCTCTTTTTCAACTTCGGCAAATCTGTTCGTTTCGAGGTGTTTGAAAGGATTGGCCCTCCCTGCGTTTGTCCGGGGCTTCTGGCAAGTACCAATGGCTGCATGAGGTGTACAAAAACCCGTGCGCAGAAGCATGCGTAGAGTCGAGGCTTGGTGTTGGATGTCTACCCCACACTGTTTTCAATCCCTGTGATTTGTGATCCATCACCATTCGATCACAAAATCATCACCGTTTTCAGTCATGTCGCATAACCCAAAACCATTTGGTTATCCATGTACATCACCCAGTCGTACCCCGGTGACATGCACTACTTTCATGGATTTTGTCCGTTCTTACCTGTAGCAGTCAGTAAACAATTCTCATCATTTTTTGAACAAGGCCTGCAACTGAACCATCATCATCCACTGTTACAGGTAAGAACGGATAGACCCAATGCATACTTTTATGGATTTTGTTGATCAACCTGTCGAGGATGTTCCACCGATGTGCTCGCCCCCCGACCGGTGCCCACCGGGGGTTCCACCGCCAGGTGATGGGCGAAGACCAGCTGACAAAGCGAGATCGAGCATCACCCATGCTGGGTTTGCCAGATTGGGACCTCATGCAGGAAGGGTTGGGGGCTTTGAGTCTAAAGAATCACGAATGGAACTTGCACAGACATTGAGTGCACCCCCAGCTCCATAAAGGTTGTATATCATCGGCTTCCTTTGCGCGGCTTTCGGATTTGCGTGGCTACTGTTGTATATATCGTATACACCATATACACACCTAGAAGCTGAATGACCTCTATTTTGGACCACAAACCAACCCAAAGTCCCAAAGATGTTTTTTTCCCTATCAAAACAGAGGTCAAATGGGTTCTAGGTATATATATATATGACATGTTTGTTCGCGGCCCTTATCAACGGATCTGATGTTTGACGCTCAGGTTCATGGTGGACTGAGTAGGTCGGTCTCTTCCGCAGAATTGCCCTACCGAACGCCACCGAAACTTTCACCACCACCCCTACCAATCTACATGGCCCAGACACACCCATGGCCTAAGCCACCCCAATGTAGGTAACCATGCCAGTCAAGGAGCGTGTCTACATGGAAAGCCTCCGTCTTTTCTCCCGTTTCACCAGGAACCGCTGCGGCGTCCCGGCGCCAAGCGCCGGCAGCGCCTCCGCCGCGACGCGCTGCAGCTCTACGCGCGCCTCGGCGGCGCAGCGACGCTGCCGGCGGCGACGCTGCGGCCGGCGGAGCTCGACGCGGCGCTGGCGGCCATGCCGCTGAATGCATTCGGGCTTTGGGAGCGAGGCCGGTGTGGTCAAGGAGGCATGGTCATGTTGGATCCTTTATAAGAGGGTTCACACGGTTCACCCCTCAGCTAAACAAATGGGAGGTCTTCTATAATAACAACATATAATAAACTACTACCAAATTCTGAATTCCTGGGAGGAGTCCTTTTGCAAGAGATTGTAATATATATAGTCATTTTCCTCTCTTTTTAATTCATAGATTGAATTTATTCATGTTCCATTTTCATGCTCTTTGTATATTGTCTCAGCAGTCCTTTATTTATACTACAAAAAAGTACAAAGAAGTTCTCACGTTCCATGCGGTTTGAAAGAAGAAACTTGAGAAACCTACAGTACTCTCAGCCAGCCAACCAGCCATTTCTTAGTAGTATTGAGATCATTTTGTATTTTTACTGAGGAAAACAACATTGCACAATTGAGAGCCCTTAAAGCAGTTGTGTTATTAAGGATCAGGACCTTCCTGGTCTACTACCTTGAAAATTTGTTTAGGAGCTATCTTTGAGGAATTGCGGGCCTTGGAGAACTGTCAGTTTTGAATAAGAACCGGAGAAACCTGCAATTACCAATAATCTGGGCAAATTATAATGGCGAGCTCACCTGACGAGGTAAGAGGCAGAATTAAAAAAACAAAAATAGGCAAGTCCAGCAGTAGCAGCAGCAGCAAGAAGGGTTTGGGGCCTGGAGAGGCCACTGCTGGGTGTAGTTTCCACAAGCTACAGGGATTCCACCATGCCGGACAAATCCCCCAGGAATCACCAAAAACAAACAATATGCTTTAATGAATATGCTCAATTTTTTATTTTGATGTTTGAAGAGCTCAAAAACTAAAAGAACAAGGAAAGCTTGGAAAGTGAACAGCTCCACCGTGACTACTCTGAGGCTTGAGCTCAGGACTGCGCGGTCCCAAAAGGGAATCCGTCCGACTAGGCCAAACACCTTCAAGTGCTCAAGGGGACGAAAAAGAGGACAATAAACAATCACAACCAGGAACATCTCCAAAGACAAAAAACAACCTATATAATCCATATATAAGTTGGTTTCATTTTATTTGAGGGGCGTTTCATTTTATATGAGGGGCGTGTCATGCTGGAACAAGACATGAAGCCAGAGGAAATTTGTCGTTTTTCTTCAAGGGGGAAATGGCAGACTGGCGTCTGTATCTTCGGCAAGTGCTGAAAGACACTCCAAAGGAGTCGCCCAAAGAATCTGTCCCCCCTAGGACTGCAAGTAGCGAGCCTGTAGTGCCAAGCCATGTAATCTCTTTTGATTTACCTGGCCTCCTACAGTTCAAAGAGACAGAGAACAGAGCTTTTGCAAAGCCACTGCTGCCGACTTACCGTAGGAAGAAACTTGCCGGTCATAACAATCTTCTGAGTACTGTATGGTTTTGTTGGGGGATCGTGTGCAAAAGTTTGTAGTTTATCTCAGGATAGCGGCCAACGGCATGAGTCGAGCGAGATTGAAAGCCATTTTGGCAAAACCTTGCCGTTGCCACCGTTTGGATTGCTTTGTCCGAGTGGGCAAGGCTGAGGAAACCGTGGTTGCATTTCTCAAAGCGTTTTGGTCATTACAGAAGCCTGCGCAAGATGCTTATGTAGTGTCCTCAGTTTGTTTACCTCACTTCCACAGAAGTCAGTTCCTCCATATGGCTGTTAAAACATCAATGGTCCTGGTTCAAAGCGATGCTGAGATCCACAATGTCCTCGCTCACCTGCCGAAAGGGAATCGTCATTGGACCTTCGTGCAAGAGATTATCTCTCAGAAGTGCTTGGCTTCTGTCCTTGGGATCCGGTCTGGTCGCTTTGACTTTGCCCAGTCTGGGCGCTTTGATCGGCGGTTTGCTTGTTTTGGCTCAGCCCCTAATCCTGCATTATGTGGTCAAGTTGTGGTTGGTATGAAGAGCATGGAGAGATGTGGCTAGTCACATGAACCCGGCGTCGTTACTGGTTCAGTCAAGGTTCGCAAAAGGAATCCACTGAAGAACAGGAAACTTGACAAATACTTCTTGGATCTGTACATCAATGCAGCAGGCATGCTGCCAGACAGGTCGCTTGATTAAAGCATTGATTTGCAGTGCGTGTCCAGATTCAGTGGAGTCTCACCCCATTGAAGTTCCGAGGTTCAAACGTGCTGGTCGGGCCCATGAACCAGGACCGCAGAACCAGGAGAAACTGCAGATCAACTTCACTCACACACCAGGGAAGCGTAGAGACGATGAGCTCGGAGTTTCAGCTGACTAAGGGTTGTGTGCACTGACAGCGTTGTGCTGACAGCACTCTGCATCTGGTTCTGCTTAGGATCTGATGAAGGTGAAGAGTTTGACGTGGAACCTGAGCCTGCATGGGAGGCGCCAGCTGAGCAGATGGAGACAGACTTGGAGTTGCAACTGCACATTTTGGGGTACAAGTCTCTGTGGACACAGAACCCATCTTAGTGGCCATTTGACGCTTCATGCAGTACCCACCACCAAGAACCAAATTGACAAGCTTGTGGAGCCAAGGATTGTGGATTCCAATTGGGCAGACAATCCACGCGACCTACCCACACGCTACATGCCACCGGGGAATATGAAACTTCTGTATTCACACTGTGGCTTCCAAGTGTCGTTTCTTAGCGACAACTTTTCACTTAGTTGTTGGTCATTGAATGACCGTCGCTTAGGAGAAACTCAGGTATGGCCACTTCGCCAAAAGGTACAAGACCAAATGGTGCAATATTTTACGTTTTTCGATGCCAAGTGGCTTTGGAGTTTGTGACGACTGTCAGTGCTACAAAACAGCTTTCGAAGATTGCAATGAACCTTTTCTGTAACAACATGTTGCCCCAAGCACCACCTACACCCATGCCCAACCTGCTCTTGCTCAAGGATGCAGTGGACAAGTTCATGATTGCCAAGAATTACAAGGAGCATCTTGATGCTGTGGGATCTGACCGGCGGCTTGAATCTTACCTTGAGGCTGGAGCTCCGCATGACTGTGACCCAAGAGAAGTAATGATGTCATTCTCTTGTCAGTCCTCCCTCTCCCATGTGGGAAGTGTCAGGGCATCAGCGGAGAAAGCGAAGACACTTTGCTTTTGACCGTTGCGGCTTGGCTGTGGAGTGGGTGGCGAACGCAGGAAATTGCAGAGAAAAAACCGGATTGTGATGATTGATGAGTTTGGTACATTTTGGTGCCTCCACCATTTTTTTGATTTAGGATGGAATGGACCAATCGAAGTGGGCGCTGCCCCGGCTGCGGCATGGTGTTCAAACAAAAGCTCTCCAGAAACTGGAGAGACCGCGAATCAAACTTCAAGGGACTTGGGCGCATGGAGTTTGCCTTTGTCTCCATGTAGTTGAAGTGCGTCAGGGCAGTGATGCTACCATGGTCCTGGAGGCTATTTGCCGCAGTTTGGAGCACGTCCACCAGCGCCTGCAGGACCGTATTTCTCGCATCTACTTTAGTTTGAAGCTTCATGGTCACTGTTCATGACCCATGACCCATGACTCATGACTGTGTGGCAACGCCCCAGGCTGATAATACAGTCCGGGAATCGAAAAATCAAACGATGATGAAATGGCTGAGTTGGATTCTGCTGCACAAAGGATTGCAACTGAGTGGAATATTTTTCCATCGCGTGGGTCACACCCACGGTACTCTAGGTGGTTCGGCTAATAAATTGTTGGAATGCATGGCATGGGTATTTGTCAGCAAGGTGGGTACTAATTAACCATGGGAACTGGTGCACACGTTGTGCTAAGACCAAATGTATGGCCTTCTGTCAAGATCGATGCGATTCGTGGACTGTCTTGCCGATCCAGCAGACATCGTAGAGATGCTAGAATGCATAGTGGTTGGGAGCTGCTACATTCAGATGAGTGCTTTGTGATATTTTGTGATGCTTTGTACCTTAGATTGTGTTTTCTGATCAATGACCATTGAGGAAGGTGACTTATCTTTGCACCAAACTCAAGCTGGATTCCTGGCTTGGCACCGCCGTGGTCATAGTGGAGGAGCTGAAAACAGCAAGAGCCTGGAAGGAGTGGCTGCTTGATTGGTCCATTCCCCCTTTGACAGAAAGTCATGATGATGGCAGTTGGTAGATTGTTTATTTGGGCATTCTTCCTGCGAATGTTCCGAGGTTGGCCACCGCACCTGTGACGATTTTTGGTGGTCTACGGGATGACTCCACGGGCGCCCATGCGTTCATGTTCGTGAGACGCAAAGGCGCGATAGGTTGTTTTTCACGAACAAAACAATGAGCGCCCGTGGCAGACGTCCCCGCCTACTTGACCATCAACGTGAATGGACCGGGTCGAAACAACTTTGCGGTGTCCCAAAACGATGTGGTCTGCCTTGTGAAGCGTTATGCTTCAGACCAAGCTCTTTCACAGGACTGGCGCTGTGTCCGATGTAGGTTGGAAAGATGTTCATCGGGGGATCAACTGATAGGAGCCAGTGCTTGTCTGGCCGGAGGCGTTCATGGCTTTGGTGGGGCGTGTGCCTCAGGTTTCAAGGCCATTGAAAGTGTTTGATGACGATCGCAGAAAAAAGATTCTGCAATTAGCAAATCTTGTCATACCAATTGATGGAACTGATGCCGGTGCTCGCACAGTTCGATACTTGCTGGAAATCAGCAATCGACGTCCAACGCAAGAGCCCCTTCCAGTTTTGCCTTGGGTCTCCACTAGGAGCCATGGTGAGTTTGATGCCCTTGTAAATTTGGACCTGGGAAGTCATTCCATAGGAATGGTCATCCCTCAAATGGCATTCCAAGCTCGGTTCAACAGGCGACGGTGAGGGCAAACAATCCACTTTCTTTTGCTCTCAGTACTTTGCAGCTTGCAAGTTGCATTGGGGTGATGCTTGCAAGTTGCAAGTTGCATGGCAGCTTATCAAGCCAGGGTCAGTAGTCGGATCGAGCCTGGGTGGGAAGAGTGTATTGAAAGGACTGCTTACTTCATATGATTTATGCATATTTATGCAAATTTCAGGAAAAACATATGGCAACAGATCA